GAAGACAAGACATCTGCTCTTCGGGTTTTCAGACCCCAGTCCCTGAGAGTTCTACCTAAGAAAGCATGGCTGGAGGCAGAGAAAGTGTCTGGAGTGGAAAAGTATAAAGTATGCATGATTTTGGTCATCCTTTACCTCGTAGATACCAATGAGAATAGCCTCAAAGTAAGACAATGTCTCCTTACCTCAGATTATGTCACAAAGTGTGAAAAGAACTGATCTTATTCTCAAAGGTCCACAGCAGCAGAATGCCTTTATGTTGCCCAAAGTTTCAGGATGTATTTTAGCAGTCTGGCTCAGAAAAACACCAAGCAGCTTGCTCAGGAATTTGAACCCTGCCTCCAAAGGAAAACCTAAAAAAAAAGTCTTACTATACAACAATCTAAAAGCTAGTAACTAGAGTTAGATTTATTCTTGATCTCAATTAATCCAGCCAGCATTGCTTGCTCCCTCTCTAGGGGCTGTCTAGAATGGAAGCTTTATTCATTCATTCATCAACTATTTATCGAATGCTTATGACATGTCAGGAATTGTCCTATATTGTGGAGTCAGTGTGGAGGGAAAATAGACACGTTTATGCCCTCAAGGAGTTTCCAGTATTGTGGGAAAACCTGTTTTTGCGAGCAGACTGTCTTCTTAACCACGTCTAAAACAGCTGAATATACAGGGCTTCTCAGTCAATGCTTACTAGCATATGAAGGGAAATTGGAATTGATACCCTATGGGGCTATTTAGATTAAATCTCATCTAGAGATAGTGTGTCTGTCCAGTTCTATCTACCTTATTCTGAAGTTCCTGAGTAATACAAGGTGCAGACATCCCCTTCTCTAAAATCTGTTCTGCTACTCAGGCAGTACAGCAGAAGAGGTTAGTGGCACACACTAGATGCCTAGGTTCAAGTCCAGGCTCTGTCACTCACAAACCATGTGAGTTGTAGGCCAGTAACCTAACCTCTCTGTGTCTCAGTTTTATCATATATAACAGTACCGAATTAGTGGAATTTTAAGGACAAAATGAATTAATATATATTAACAAATAATTAATATACTTAAATAATTGATTAAATAATTAATATAAATATTTAGAAGAGTGCATAATATATGGTAAGCAATCAATAAATGTTGGAAATCATAATTGTTGTTCTGGAGCTACAATGAAGGGAGCTACCAAAAGTTAGTTGTTTTCAATTGAGCTACTCCAAAGAAATTCAGTTTCCTGTTTTTTATGGGGTGAGAATTTGGCTACTTTCTCTTCTACACTGAGTTTGGTCTTTCCAGTTTCAAGAAGTGCTCAAGAGGAGCATATATGTGGTGTTGAAAATAGATTATAAATGAGGCAATCTTTCACTCAGAAGCTGCTGGTCAGACTTTGAGAAATTTCTTTTGGGATGAGACCAGCCTAAGGAAGAAATTCTTCAGGAGTTATGAAAAAATACTTCCCTGGACATTGCTGCCATCCTCTTTTCTTCCCTACATAACTATACTTCTTGAAGCAGTTGTCACTGCTTTGCTTCATCACCATCCACATACTCTTCAGGCCCAGTGAGTATGGTTTCTGCCTCCTTCACTCCAATGTAACCACTTGTGACAACACAGACTGACCTTGAGGACATAATGCTATGCAAGATGTTAGAGAAAGACAAATTCTGTATCATCTCACTTATATGTGGAATCTAAAAATGTCGAACTCATAGAAGCAGAATAGCATGATGGATGCCAGGGGCTGAGGGGTGTGGGAAATGGGGAGATTTTAGTCAAATAGAACAAATTTCCAGTGATAAGATGAATAAGTTCTCGGGATCTAATTACAGCATGGTGGCTATAGTTAAGAATACTGTATTGTATACTTAAAACTTGCTAAGAGAGTAGATCTTAAGTGTTCTTTAACAGAAAAATAAAAGGTAACTGTGTAGGGTGATGGATGTGTTAATTAACTTGATTGTGGTAATCGTTTCACAATGTATTTGTATATTAAATCATAATGTTGTACACCTTAAAAAAACATCACATTGTACAACCTACACATATACAATTTTTATTTGTCAATCATACCTCAATAAAGCTGGAAAAAAATGCTGATTATGTTCCACTAAATCACATGCAGTGGGGACATTTACATGCAATGAGGCTGGAAATTTTGTTAGTGAAGACTGCAGGAAGACCCTGACTGATTTCCTGCTTTATAAGGAAGTCAGGAATTTAAGTGGGAAATCATAAGCTGGCCTTTGCAAAATATTGCTGTGGGAGATCCAAAAGAGTTACAAACTTTTTCCCTCCTATTTTTAAAAGGCCTCAGAGAAGTAGAGGCTATAACTAACTGCTCACAGTAGTCCAATTCTTGGGGAAAACCCACAAATACTGAAAAACTACTTAGATTTGACCTAAATCCTTCAAGCTAGAGATTTGTTTTCTTCCCCCTCCTATTCGACTCTGCTTTTCACTGCCAACTGTGGTAAAGCTTCTTATTCCATGTGGCAAAGCCCCAATGAAAACAAGAGTAATACAGGTTCACAAGCATTTGGCTTACTATTTCCATAGTAGCCAACACAGTGGTAGTCTCACAGCTAGGTACCATACCTGGATGCACCTCAAACTCTCCATCCTGAGAAGGCCCTTAAATTCAGGAAGGCCATACAATTTCAAGGTTAAGTTTAAGTGCACAAGCTCTGGAGTTAGAATACCTGAATTCAAATCCCAGCTCTACCACTACTGTTTCAATGTGGGCAAGTTTCTTACTTCTCTGGGCCCAATTCCCCCATCTAAAAAGTGGGATAGTGATAGTACTTACTTCATGGGGTTCTTGTAAAGACTAATGAGACAATCCTTATAAAGCATTTACAACATGACACTTAGTAAATACTGAACAAAAGGTAGCACTGTTTTCATTTGCAACCCACCTACATTTTCATGATATATATACTATTAAGTTAGCAAATAAAGCTGGTTGAAACTGGAAAAAGTTAGGTCCCTACACAAATCACTACCCATACTCTATGCTAGCAATGGTTTCCATTTGCAACACATTACTTATGAAATAGGAGCTACCTAGTCATTGCTTTTATCTAAGACAGTGTTTTACAAACTTTTAGATTACTTTGAGAATCAGTGGTCTGATTTATATATATCTTTTTTTACCTCTTTTTTATATGTATCTTTTTTTAACCTCTTAACGTGTTTATTTTTTTAACATCTTTATTGGAGTATAATTGCTTTATAATGGTGTGTTAGTTTCTGCTTTATAACAAAGTGAATCAGCTATATGTATACATATATCCCCATATCTCCTCCCTCTTGTGTCTTCCTCTCACCCTCCCTATCCCACCCTCTAGGTGGTCACAAAGCATGAACTGATCTCCCTGTGCTATGTGGCTGCTTCCCACCAGCTATCTATTTTACATTTGGTATAAACTACATATATCTTATTTGGTATAATGCCTTCAACTCATCCTTACAAACCTGGTGAGCACATGTTTTCCCACTCCTGCTTCCAGGTCTACATTTCGTCTTCTTTTCCTTAAAGCAGTGGTTCCCAAAATATAGTCTGTGGACCAGCAGGATCAGTATCAGCAACACCTTGTTAGAAACTTGTTAGAAATGTAGGGAACTTGTTAGAAATGTAGATTCATGGACCCCACCCGAGACCTACTGAATCTGAAACTCTCAGTGGTAGCGGGTGGGACAGCAGTGTGTGTTATTATTACTATTTTTTTTTTTTTTTGCAGTACGCAGGCCTCTCACTGTTGTGGCCTCTCCTGTTGCGGAGCACAGGCTCTGGACGCACAGGCTCAGCGGCCATGGCTCACGGGCCCAGCTGCTCCGCGGTTCATGTGGGAACTTCCACGGTTCATTTGCTCTTTTCATTTTCCTAGATGTTACTAGGATAAAGAATCTGGAACACCTACTTAAAAAACTCTCCTTCTGTAGAAGATTAATACAACTGTTGATAAAATTAGTCCAATGAGATTCTTTTAAGAATTGATATTTTTAATCTACATAATGATAAACTGCCTAAAAAACAACATGTTCTTTGTTGCTCAGTAAAAACTCTATCTCAATTGGGGACAATAAGATGGGGAAAGGTGAGGTTCTGGCAGTCTGGAAGAAGTTTCTTTATGACATAGAGACAAGAAAATTGAGATGAGTCTACTCTGCTGTAGATTCCCTAAATGCTTTTGTGCTGTTTCAGTTCTATGGAAACTGAAAAAGGGCTTTGAGTAGTTCTAGTCAGTGTTGTCAAGCTCCATTCCTCCCAGTTCACAATGCCTCATCTTTTCCTTAGGGGATGAAGTCAAATAAACTCCCAGCCTGAAAGAGGTTTTTGTTTGTTTGTTTGTTGTTTGTTTTTTTTTGTTTTTGGCGGTACGCGGGCCTCTCATTGTTGTGGCCTCTCCCGTTCGGAGCACAGGCTCCGGACGCGCAGGCTCAGCGGCCATGGCTCACGGGCCTAGCTGCTCCGCGGCATGTGGGATCTTCCTGGACCGGGGCACGAACCTGTGTCCCCTGCATCGGCAGGCGGACTCTCAACCACTGGGCCGCCAGGGAAGCCCTGAAAGAGGTTTTAATACTACTTAACTAGTATAATGAAGGCACATCCCACCAGGTGTTACGGAATATATAAAATTAACCATTCCTGGACCTCACAGAAAGAAGACTTACATCTCATAAACACTATTTTCCCTCAACTTTTTATTCATTCCTTCTCCAGTTGCATCCTGAAATAGGCTTTCAATACACCTCAGGCCTGGATTACTACCACAGCTTCTCCGACTGCCATCAGTCAGCCTATAGGTTAACTTTCTTTCAACATTCCTTTGTCGTTTCCTATCACATTGTACCAAAACTCTTCTGCCTAGCTTTAAGGCTATCGTTTGGCTCATCCTTCCTATCCAACTTTATTTTGTACTATTTCCCAAATAGCAGGTCCCCTTCCCCTAGGATAACTGAAATTCATTTGCTCTTTCTTAGGGAAAAGTTGAAGAAACAAGGAAAAGAAAAACAGACACTGAAATCCCTAACAGCAAAAGTTTATTTACAATTGTAGTTAAGGAATATTTTTAATGCATGCTGAGAAAACAGTAATATTCCAAACGTATAGGTTACTCTCTGGTAAGGAATACAAGATGACGCTGGGAAAGGCTTTGGCATACACAACAACTGGAACCAGGTTAACAGAACACCTGCACTATTAGAACGTTGTTATCAGAACACTTATATATCACCTATTTATATGTCACACCAACTTCATAAACAGCTCATCTTCTAACTCCTCACTGGCTATTTGAGTAAATAGCATTCAAGGTTAAACATTAAGACTGGGGAGTAGGGAAGAAATACAGAAGTGATAAGCATCACAACATTTCAGAGCCTATATATACTAATACAACATTAAGATTAAGAAACAGTATTCCAATTTTTTTCTGAAACAGCATTTGGCAATGTTCTAGCGCATAAGAAGACACTGCTTTGGTCCATCCACTCTTTCCAGCTTTTCAAAGTGTTTCCTGGCATTGCGGATATTGATCAGAGTAGCTGCAGAAGCTGAGGGTGGGGTAGGGAAGATAACCAACAGACTAAGTACAAGCAGCCAAAGGAATAATTGACTAGTAAAAACAAATAAACAAAAGAGAGCCAAATCCCTCAATGTATGTCACAGAGAACATAAGTCCCAAGTTAACCAGAGTTTAATTTTTCTGAATAAATAAAAGATTTGTTTATATTCTAAACATAGTATTTTCAAAATAAAATTTCAAACTCTTTTGGTTTGGAGCTAATAGCAAAAAAGAATATTATCTTATGTTGTATTCTAATATTAACCTAAGATAGATAACTTAAGAGATAATTTAAACTTCTGGGAGCATCCTGGAAATACTGCTAGAACCTTTATTTCAATGGTTGTGATGGATATGGCTATTATGGCATGGAAGCACCAAATATCTCTCTTTATGCTCATAACAGAAATATGGGAGTATGGTACTTAGGAATATACAATGACATATAAAATGGTTCAACATTTAATAGTTCAGAGCTTAGATTGACTAGTCTTTTAAAAATCTACCCCACATGGAGCTAAGTCATACATTTGGGTTCTTTTTCTTTAAAATCCTTAGATGTAGTAACTATACATAAGTAATTTTTAAAGTTCCCATGAAGAAGATATAATACCCTAAAGTCTAAATTAAGTTTCAAAATATGTCTATTAAATAAAAAGTATTTACCACTAGTACTAAATTTTTTTTTCATTGTGGTAAAATGCACATAAAATGAAATTTACCATTTTAACCATTTTCAAATGTATAGGTCAGTGGCATTAAGTACATTCACAGTGTTGTGCACTACTAAATAGCTTTTCAGTATCTTTAATAACGTACTACCTTTAGGGAAATTAGTTTAAAAAATACGTGGCTTTGAACCTATGTCGGCTAAGTTTAAACTTACGAATGGATGGATCAGACATCACGACCATCACATAAGTGTTGGATGTAAAGATGTCAATGAAAGCAGCGAAGTTAGAGTTCCTGACTTCCATGCTCTGGAAAGAGGCAGCCAGCTTGCTATAGGAGAAAGGAGAAAAGTGAATAAAGAACATAAAATAATAGCAACATAAGACATTCTTATTTTTCACGTTAAATATTTTCATAGCATTATATCTCAATCCACCACCTCATTAAGACAGTTAATCACTAATCCCACTTTGCTTTCCAAGGAAACTCTAATGACAAATTTAACACGTGCTGGAAAGTGACTTAGAAAGTGGATTAGGACTCGATACTGACTGTGAAATGAAAAGTGGGCTTAGACCTAGATTCATATTAAAAATCATGTTACCAAAGATTTCTCTAATATTTAAGAAGTTTATTCAGTTGAAATTTCCCTATCATTGAGGTTAATAACTGTATCTTTTGAATGTTAGTTATGCTGAAATTCTAGAAATGATCCCATTTCTTTGAAAACAAAAAGGGTAATGATATTTATATGCCATTTGCTATTTCTTCTTAAAAATATTAGAATAAACATGCCAGAAAGTCTCAAAGTGTGCTATGACATAAAAGGGAAACAATTACACTTATTCTATTGTCTGGGCATCAAAGTTTTACCAGGATAAGAATTTTGATTATTAAATCTTTACTAGATTATGATGTTCAGCCATTCCTTCTTCCTATATTCACAATGCTAAGATTCAAATTGTATTTAAACAAAGCTGAGACAATATGATCAGATATTTCTAGACTCTCTACTTTGTACCATTCTTGAATCAGTCCCTCACTATTTTAATTACCGTAGTTTTATAGTAAATCTTGGTATTTGGTAGGGTAAATTCTCCTTTCTTGTTTTTCAAAACTCTCTTGGACATTTTCTGTTTATTTTTTTCCCAAATAGTATCAAACATCTTGAAGGGGTACTCTGCTTAGATATTTTTCATATGCTTCTTCTGCATCAGTTGACTTTGCATTAAAGGTGTCTTTCACTTCTGTCAACTGTAGGCTCCCTTAGAGTTTAGCTTTATTTTTAATATAAAGAAGAATATAGAAGTGCAGTCTACTATAGTTATTTGAACCTCTCAAAAAATGACAATTTGTTCCAGAGATAAATACATCACATAAGATCTCTTACCTGCAGCTCAGCTTAAATTGCTTAATAATGTTGCTGATTTTCTCAAATCTGTGGACATCACGCTGTTCTTTACATTGATAGTGAGAAATCACCTATGAAAAAGAGCAATGCCCTTTAAATTCATGCAGTGTTGTCATATCACCCTCTACTACTCTTCAAGGCAATACATTTGTCAGTCTCTTGGTCACCCGGATTTTCAGGGTAGACTTGGCACCTGGCTTTACTGCCTCTATTCCTCTGTCCCATATCCTGTTAACATCTGCATAATTTCAACATCCCTACGGATGACCCACCCAGTACTGTTTGGTTATAATTTTATTAGATCATTTAAGTATTGTATTATCTATTTTGGTTCATTGCTGTCCTTTCTCACTTACTTTAATCATTAAATATTCATCTTATTTCAATATGATGGTCTTTGATTCAAAAAAAGTACAAATCAAAAAGGAAAAATAAAAATTCTTAGCTGTTTTTTTAAAAATATTTTATTTATTTATTTGTTTATTTATTTTGGTTGTGTCGGGTCTTAATTGCAGGCACACAGGATCTTCGTTAAGGCATGTGGGATCTTTTCGCTGTGGCATGCAGGCTCTTCGTTGCAGCACTCAGGCTTCTCTCTATTTGTGGCACGTGGGCTCCAGGGTGTGTGGGCTCTGTAGTTTGCAGCATGCGGGCTCTCTAGTTGAGGTGTGCAAGATCAGTAGTTGTGGTGCACAGGCTTAGTTGTCCCGTGGCACGTGGGATCTTAGTTCCCCGACCAGGGACTGAACCTGCATCCCCTGCACTGGAAGGTGGATTCTTTACCACTGGACCACCAGGGAAGTCCCTCTTAGCTGTTGCTGAGGTGTACTTAATGTATTTAATTTTAATGAAGTCTATAACCAAGTGGTTTTTGGTATCATATTTAAAAATCTTAACTGAACGATTCTGACCTCTGAGGATTTACTATTTATAAATGAACCTATTCATGATGGACACCAATGCCAGCTGAAAATACTTCCCCTCACACTTTCAGATTAATAAAACCACACAAGTATTTCCCATAGGCTGATGTAAAGTTTCTAGTAGGAAGCAAAACTGAGTCATTTGCCAGAAGAAAATTCACAGGACAATTCCCTGAAACCATGTGAAAATTTCAAAACATAATTCCTAGACCAATGGTGGAATAGGTTCCTGTTGATTGACTTCAAGAGCTATAGTGAAAATGGTCAATCACAACGAAACTTAGTCCTCAAGAGAAAGCAAAAGCTACTTGTTACTGCCAGTGAAAAACAGAGTTTATATTAGGTTAACCTCTATGATCATGTGTGGTAGATGTGGCAGGAGAATACTGCTGAAGCAGGATTCTACCACGCCACATGTCTCAAGATAGACAGAAGAGCTCACCTGCTTGTTGCTATTACCACTAGCAGGAAAGACAGGGCTCAGGGTAGTGAACTTCCAAGCAAGTGATCCCTGCCTATGGGCTGAGGCAGAAAGACACTCTAGTTAGGACTCCTTGCCTCAGCTGTACCAGTTAGCAGGAAGGATGGCTCCCAAATATGCTACCATTAAAAATAATGTTTCCACAAAGGAAGGAGAAAAAAATTGCACTTTGAATTCTCTGCCCTCTGTTGGCTGCAATAGCAAAAGAAATCAACGTTAAACAGTTTGCCAACTGTATGCTAAACTTTGTGCTAGGGCTTAATGTTACCTTGTCCCATTTTAATCCGCACAATAAACCTATGATATAGATATTATTATCTCCATTTTATAAAAGGGGAACCAAACTCAGAGAGATTAAGATATGTGTCTACCATATATATGCTGTCTACAAGAGACCAACTTCAGATCTAGGGCTACATACAGACTGAAAGTAAGAGGATGGAAAAATGCATTCCATGCAAACAGAAATCAAAAGAAAGCTAGAGTAGCAATACTCATATTAGACAAAATAGTTTAAAGAATGTTACAAGAGACAAAGAAGGACACTACATAATAATCAAGGGATCAGTCCAAGAAGAAGACATAACAATTGTAAATATATATGAACCCAACATAGGAGCACCACAATATATAAGGCAAATACTAACAGCCATAGAAAGAAAAGTCGACAGTAACACAATCATACTGGGGGACTTTAACACCCAATGTTCATCAATGGAAAGATCATTCAGACAGAAAATCAGTAAGGAAACACAGGCCTTAAATGACACATTAGGCTAGATGGACTTAATTGATATTTAGAGCATTCCATCCAAGAGCAGCAGAATACACATTCTTCTCAAGTACACATGGAACATTCTCCAGAATTGATCACATGCTGGGCCACATAGCAAGCCTCAGTAAATTTAAGAAAACTGAAATCATATCAAGCATCTTTCCCAAACACAACGCTATGAGATTAGAAATCAACTACAAGGAAAAAGCTGTAAAATACACAAACATATGGAGGCTAAACAATATGCTACTTAACAACCAATGGATCACTGAAGAAATCAAAGAAATCAGAAAGTACATAGAGACAAATGAAAATGAAAGCATGAGGATCCAAAACCTATGCGGTACCCCAAAAGCAGTTCTAGGAGGGAAATTTACAGCAACACAATCTTGCCTCAGGAAACAAGAAAAATCTCAAATAAACAACCTAAACTTACACCTAAAGCAACTAAAAAAAGAAGAACAAACAAAACACAAAGTTAATAGAAGGAAAGAAACCATAAAGATCTGAGCAGAAATAAATGAAATAGAGAGAAAGAAAACAACAGAAATGATGAATGAAACTAAAAGCTGGTCCTTTGAAAAGATAAACAAAATGGATAAACCTTTAGACAGACTCATCAAGGAAAAAAGGGAGAGGACTCAAATCAATACAATTAGGAATGAAAAAGGAGATGCTACAACAGACACCACAGAAATACAAAGGATCATGAGAGATTACTACAAGCAACTATATGCCAATAAAATGGACAACCTAGAAGAAATAGACAAATTCTTAGAAAGGTACAATCTCCCAAGACTGAACCAGAAAGAAACAAAAAATATGAACAGATCAATTACAAGAATGAAATTGAAACTGGGATTAAAAAACTCCCAACAAACCAAAGTCCAGGACCTGATGGCTTCACACATGAATTCTATCAAACATTTAGATAACACCTATCCTTCTGAAACTATTCCAAAAAATTGCAGAGGAAGGAACACTTGCAAACTCATTCTAGGCGGTCACCATCACCCTGATAACCAAAACCAGACAAAGATACCACCAAAAAAGAAAATTACATGCCAATGTCACTGGTGAACATAGATGCAAAAATAGCCCTCAACAAAACACTAGCAAACCGAATCCAACAATACATTAAAAGGATCAGACCAAATGATCAAGTGGGATTTATCCCAGGGATGAAAGGACTTTTCAATATCCCCAAATCAATCGGTGTGATACACCACAGCAACAAACTGAAGAATAAAAACCATATGATCACCTCAATAGATGCAGAAAAAGCTCTTAAAAAAATTCAACACCCATGTATGATAAAAGCTCTCCAGAAAGTGGGCACAGAGAAAATTTACCTCAACATAATAAAGGCCATATATGACAAACCTACACCTAACATCATACTCAATGGTGAAAAGCTGAAAGCATTTCCTCTAAGATCAGGAACAAGACAAGGATATCCACTCTCACCACTTTTACTGAACATAGTTTTGGAAGTCCTAGCCATGGCAATCAGAAAAGAAAAATAAATAAAAGGAATCCAAATTGGAAAAGAAGTAAAACAGTCTCTGTCTGCAGATGACATGATACTACTATACGCAGAAAATCCTAAAGATGCTACCAGAAAACTACTAGAACTCATCAATGAATTTGGTAAAGTTGTAGGATGCAAAATTAATATACAGAAATCTCTTGCATTTCTATACACTAACAATGAAAGATCAGAAAGAGAAATTAAAGAAACAATCCCATTTACCAGTGCAGCAAAAAGAATAAAATACCTAGAAATAAACCTATCTAAGGAGGCAAAAGACCTGTACTTCAAAAAACTATAAGATGCTGATGAAAGAAATCAAAGATGACAGAAACAGACAGAAAGAAATACCATGTTTTTGGATTAGAAGAATCAATATTGTCAAAATGACTATACTACCCAAGACAATCTACATATTCAATGCAATCCCTATCAAATTACCAAGGGCATTTTTCACAGAGCTAGAACAAAAAATCTTAAAATTTGTATGGAGACACAAAGACCCTGAATAGCCAAAGCAATCTTGAGAAAGAAAAACGGAACTGGAGGAATCAGGCTCCATGACTTCAGACTATACTACAAAGCTAAAGTCATCAAAACAGTATGGAACTGGCACAAAAACAGAAATATAGATCAATGGAATAGGACAGAAAGCCCAGAAATAAACCCACGCACCATGGTCAATTAACCTATGACAATGAAGGCAAGACTATATGATGGAGAAAAGACAGTCTCTTCAATAAATAGTGCTGGGAAAACTGGACAGCTACATGTAAAAAATATGAACATTCTTTAATACCATACACAAAAGTAAACTCAAAATGGATTAAAGACCTAAATGTAAGACTGGATACTCTAAACTCTTAGAGGAAAACATAGGCAGAACACTCTGACATAAATTGCAGCACAATCTTTTTCAATCCACGTCTAGGGTAATGGAAATTAAAAAACAAAAAACAAAAAACAAATGGGACTTAATTAAACTCAAAAGCTTTTGCACAGCAAAGGAAACCATAAAGAAAGTGCAAAGACAACCCATAAAATTGGAGAAAATATTTGCAAATGATGTAGCAGACAAGGGATTAATCTCCAAAATTTACAAACAACTCATGTGGCTCAGTATGAAAAAAAAACAAACAACCCAATAAAAAAATGGGCAGAAGACCTAAATAGACATTTCTCGAAAGAAGACATACAGATGGCCAGGAGGCATGTGAAAAGATGCTCAACATTAGTAATTATTATAGAAATGCAAATCAAAACTACAATGAGGTACTACCTCACACCAGTCAGAACGGCCATCATCAAAAAGTCTACAAACAATAAATTCTGGAGAGGGTGTGGAGAAAAGGGAACCCTCTTGCACTGTTGGTGGGAATGTAAATTGGTACAGCCACTGTGGAGAACAGTATGAAGGTGCCTTAAAAAACTAAAATTAGAGCTACCATATGATCCAGGAATCCCACTCCTGGGCATATATCCGGAGAAAAACATGGCTTGAAAGGATACATGCACCCCAATGTTCATTTCAGCCCCGTTTACAATAGCCAAGACATGGAAGCAACCTAAATGTCCATCAACAGATGAATGGATAAAGAAGATGTGGTACATATATACAATGGAATATTACTCAGCCATTAAAAAGAATGAAATAATGCCATTTGCAGCAACATGGATGGACCTGGCGATTATCATACTAAGTGAAGTAAGTCAGACAAAGACAGACAAATATATGATATTGCTTATATGTGGAATCCAAGAGAAATGATACAAATGAACTTGTTTACAAGACAGAAACAGACTCACAGACTTAGAGAAGGAACTTGTGGTTGCCAGGGGCGAAGGGTGGGGGTAGGGATAGATTGGGAGTTTGGGATTGAGATGTACACACTTCTATATTTAGAATAGATGGCCAACAGGGACCTACTGTACGGCATGGGGAACTCTGTTCAATATTTTGTAATAACCTAAATGAGAAAAGAATTTGAAAAAGGATACATGTGTATGTAAAAAACAAAAAAAGCAATAAATGTGTCTAAAATCATGAAGCACTGGTAGAGCTCAGAAACCAATTACTTACTGCGAGCTGCTCTTAGAGCTATATTTATTAAGCTGATCAGCAATTACTTAAGCGGTGCTTTGTGACAGCTCAAGCCAATTTCTATTAGTTATTTAAAAATTTTACTTATAAATATAATATTGGGTTTTGCATACCCCCTCATGGCCAAATACACAGTAGGTGCTAATATCATCGTTAAGCCGAATTTATAAGAAAAATAAAAATACCAACATACCTCTTTGCCCTTTCACCTCCCCATCTGAACTCTTAGCTACGTCACTGAGTTGACCATTACATCTCTTCCATGTTAAAAGCTTTAAACTCAAAGAAAAATACCCATCATTTCATAATAAAAGTCAATAGGAAATAGGAATTCTTTAACACAAATGAACAATTATTCACAAAAATAATCTAAACTCTATAGTAAGGCTTACCTGCAAACACCTAAGTTTTACTAATTACTAAAGATCCATGCACCAACGAACTTCTTTCAAGTTACTTGCTGACAATACTACTTTACAAATAAGGCTATGCATGGTGAAGTAATGACAAGAGGGAAAAAGGTTCTTTCTGAAAGTGGCAACATATTCTCCATTGCTGAATAGAAGAAGGTGAGTGTGAAGTACATCTGCAGAGCAGAAAGTTCTCACCAGAAAAGTGGCTCTCTCAAATAGAAGCACTTCATCAGCCTCAATAATTTCAGCAAAATTCCTTAGGTTCATTTCCAGCTGCTGAACATTGGGAATCAGCTGATAAACAATGCTGGACCAAGCCTAACAGAACAGAAGCACAGTGTAATATTACTAACAGGTAGCCAGTCCCAGATCTTTGCAAATGAGTAAGTATACTATAACATACAGACAGCAAAATATGGTGATAACTGAGTCCCAAACAAATTCTGGCAACAAGTATAACACAAACGAAGTGAGAAAATGAAGATAATATTTGATTTTTATCCTTCAGTTGGATTTTTAAAGTTTCAAACACTTTTGTAAAATACTTCTTTCCATTGATAATTAAAAATAAACAAATATTTAATTCTATCATATTACCTTAGGGAAGTTGAAAACTCTGATATACTGGGCTAAAGAACTTCTAATCCAGCCATTCAAACAGATATGTAAGTCCAATAGTGTAGATTGCTCTAAAGATCAGAACCTAATAATGCTATATTTAACATACATCTAAGAATCAATTCTATGAAAATATCAGAGCCACATAGAAAAATGGCCCCTCCCCTCAATGGGATAACATACAATAGAAATTACAAGAGAAATTAGTGGCATTATCATTCCAAAAGGCTTATTGTCAGCTTTATAAATTATTGATCCAATTGAATTAAAAACAGTCCACTGTGTGTTTGCCTAAAACTAACTTCATCCAGAGGAGTATGACTAAAATAAGGAGTTGAAATTAACCACACCCTCCCTCTATTCTCTTAAGGCTCTTTTATTTGAATTTTCATTATAATATTTCTTTCAATTTTGCTCCAATTTGTCTGGTAAGGTGTACAATGTTCTTCTCTCCCCTACTAGAGGGCAGGAACCTGGTCTTAGCCATCTGTGCGTCCAACAGCATCAAGCAGATTGCAATGAGTGCTTTTAGAATAAAACTTAATATAAAAATTTATGTCAGCTCTATGCAATATTGATGTAAGAGAGAGTAGAGCCATGTCTCTGTTCCAATTAGTTTTATTACTTAGGCATGGGGGTTCAGGTTCCAAGTTCCCAGGTCGGTGTTAATGTCACTGCTGAATTTACCTTGGAGAAGGCACCAAAGCTAACCACAGCAGAGACATTGTCACTCACAGCAGTGTTGTGATTAGCCAATTGTCTTTGGTCGTGTTATGTATTGCCATCCTTCACACCGCAGTTGGTTCTTATCAGTGCGTCATGTCCATCCTTATTCACGGTTACCTGTTCTATGGGAATAAGGCTTTGAGAGAAATTCGGCCCAAATTAATCTAGAACAGTATTTCCTAGATAGGTATCTCAAAATGATCTGTTATTAGAGCGAGGCTGGGTCAACATATTGGGGAAAAAATGAATTAGTTAAAAAAATAAATCAGTGGCTATGTTTAAAGTCCTATTGTTTTTCTCCTTGGCAAATCAGGTTTCTGTGCTTTTGGTTGTAGATACTTGTCAGATGGAGTTGATACTGAGGCTGTAGCTACAAGTCACAGAGAAGGATGCTTTCCTACCCAGACTTGTCAATGGATACCAGAAGCAGTCTGACCACAGGAGGACCCAAAAGGAGCCAGTCTTTCAACTAAATCAGTGGGAGAAAGGGAGGAAGCAGGATAAGGAGCCTATGTGCCAATAAGGTAATTTCAGCTTCATCCATAACACAGCTATTGTTTGTAACCTCTACAACTACTACAAGCAGTGTGGCATCCATTCCACCAATGGGAACAATCTCTCTGGTTGAAAGAATGCTAGTCTCTAATTTGGCATGAAAGTTGAAGCTATCATACTCTAGAAATAACATATCCCATTCTAAGACTCCCTTCTCCAATCTCTCCCCTAAATATTGTTCTTCTATTGCCATCCAAACTTAGGCAGACTAGCTTATATCCTGTAGAGGTACCTGAATATTAGATACAATTCCAGTCAGCACTGAGACCACAACAGGTCAAAATGGATGATGGTCAGTGAAACCTCTACTGTCATGAAGATCTGTATCAAATTAATCAGGACCAAACTGGGTTAATTCAGTGTGATCTGGTAGGTATGTCGACCCAATCTAAGATCAAAACCAAAATTTCTTAAGGTTAAATTGGGTATTTTTCAAACAATTTATTGTAGATTATTTCTTCTTTTGGTTCAACACATCTAGATGGCTATGAAAGAGTTTAAAATCTTTTAGTTTTGATAATACCCTTCTAGCTTTTTTTTCATGCTCTTTAAATGAGAGAACTCAGGGAAACATACACACCTTATAGAGAGTTTCATCCCAGATAGATGTTCGGAAGCAAGAACATTCCAATGGGCGAGACAAACGCCTCAGATCTTCTTCTCGCTCTTTAAAAATCTGAAGTAAATAGACCAACATACTGATCAGCATATAACTAACAGCTCTCCTCTCTCACTGCAAGATCTGAGGTGTAATATTTTAGCATATTTTAAAGAGGGGCATTTCATTTTTCCTCAGAGGAATTTTTAAATGTGTACGTTACTTTACATACTAGGATGACAGAAATGATTTCAAGTCAGGTCTACAAAGTACAATGGCTACTAGAATTCTTCAGGACTGTGCTGCTTGTTTTGAGTACTCACTGAGAATACTATGCTGGAAAATAAAATTTACCATACAGAGGAATCTTAATAAAATATACCTAACATTCCAAATAATCCAATCTGGGTCATTTTTAAGATATGCATACCAATATCAAGATTTTATAAATCAAAATACTTCAACTTTTTGTAGATATCTTACTCTCATACACACACGCATACACATATATTATTTCTGTATGGACTGTATTTATTTGGCTACATAGATATAACAACCCCTTACACACAAATATCTATTCTTCTTGGCTATGTATCTATCTATATATGTGCCCATATATACATGGAAAAATATCTATTTATACAAATATAAACACATACACAGATATTTTCCAGGACTGGGTGGGCTTATAGTGAGTACACTGTTCACACTGTGATGGATAATTTTATGCAACCACTAGGTTAGGCCACAATACCCAATTTAGATGTTGCTATGAAGGTATTTTTTAGATGAGATTAATATTTAAATCAGTGGATTTTTAGTAAAGCAGATCCCCCTCCATAATATGGGTAAGCTTTATATAACCAGTTGAAGGCCTTAAGAGAAAAAGACTGCCATTCCCCAGGAAGAGGGAATTCTGCCTTCCAGACTGCCTTCTGACTCAAGCTGCAACAAGGGTATCTAGCCTATCAGTCTGCCCTGCAGATTTCGGACTTGCCAGCCTCCACAATCATATGAGTCAATTCCTTAAAATTAATCAGTCTCTCTCTTATTCTCACTCTCTCTCTCTCTCTCTCTCTCTACACACACACACACACACACACAAACACACACTTCTTATTGGTTCTGTTTCTCTGAGGAACCCTGACTAATACACACACATAGAAGGAAACACCTATCTTGCTTGAAACTGATATTCAGGAAAGCACCCTAGCCATTTTATTCCAAAACCTCCAAGTCTGAAAGTTTAATGAAATAGAGTATACTTTTCTTAATTAAGCTTAAAATCCCACAAAGAACATTAATGTATCTTTGGGGATATTTACATAAGCATTTAGAAAACAATATGTCGATCACTAAAAATTACAAGCAATTTAAAAATCCATAAGGAGGTCATTTATTGGAATGCTCTAAGTTTTTCTGTTGCAAATTGGGCCAGGGAAACAAAACAGAAAACAGTAATAATAACAAACCCCTCACAAGCTCAAGATCAAGCTACATAAAGAATTTTCTGCTGAATTAAAACAGAATTGATATTTAGTGAGAGGGAGAAGGAATTAAAAAGAATACTCAAAAGTCCTTTTCAGAGTCAAATACAGAACCCTGTCAAGTGGTTTCTGAAAGCCTGTAAGCTAACCTAGAAACACCAAAACATACTCAAATACTGGAACACTGAAGGCAATCCTGTTACTAATTACGGGGAAAAAAAAGTATTCCTGACCACAGTTATTACCAAAAAATTCTTAAGTTATTACCAAAAAATTCTTAAGTTATAGGGGATCCTTAGACGCCTAGGTTCCAACCCAAAGAGGAACTGTATTCTTCTACATCACCAGTATATTCTAAAACTGCTTTCCTCAACTTTACCCTTGGAAATAGAGGATCTTCTCTTTCAGCTTAGACTTTAAAATCCAATCCTCTTATTTTATATGGAGCAAACTAAAGCTAGACTCTTTGTGACTTGCCAGTCCTGGGGTCTCATAGCTAGCTAGGGGTTTGCCCTTTCTACTGTGTCTTTTCTTGTTTAAATTTATGTGTACTAACTCCCATGCCAGAAAAGAAGATAAATATACCATATCAGTGCAATTATGAGGGCCTTGGCATTGTGCCTAACACAGTATAGTTGGCATTTGAATTGGTGCATACCAGTTTCCTAGGTCAACCTAGTGACAGCTATGACCTTTCTTTATCTCACCCCTGGTGGGTCTTCTAGCCTTGACAATAACTGCCTGCTCTGAAGGACAGTAAAACAGTGGTATCAAATATATTTTAAAAGTACATAAAGCTGCTTAGTGATAACACACAGTCAGGATCCTTTCCTAAATTTGAAAATTATTTGCTAAATGAACATTATATTTCCCTTACCATGGAACATTTGTTTATGTGTTTTTTTGTTTGTTTTTGTTTTTGTTTTTTTTGCGGTACGCGGGCCTCTCACTGCTGTGGCCTCTCCCGCTGCAGAGCAAAGGCTCCGGACGCGCAGGCTCAGCGGCCATGGCTCACCGGCCCAGCCGCTCCACGGCATGTGGGATCCTCCCGGACCGGGGCACAAACCCGCGTCCCCTGCATCGGCAGGCGGACTCCCAATCACTGCGCCACCAGGGAAGCCCCAAAGCTTTTTTTTTTTTTTTGCGGTATGTGGGCCTCTCACTGTTGTGGCCTCTCCCGTTGCAGAGCACAGGCTCTGGATGCACAGGCTCAGCGGCCATGGCTCATGGGCCTAGCCGCTCTGTGGCATGTGAGATCTTCCCGGACCGGGGCACGATCCCGTGTCCCCTGCATCGGCAGGTGGACTCTCAACCACTGCGCCACCAGGGAAGCCCTGTTTATAAGTGTTTTTAAAAACAAATGTCAACTTTATTTTGAAAGCTTATGCTGAGATTTTTTTTTCCTAAAAAAGAATGGTACAAATTTACCTATATCTCTACAGAAGTCTACAAAGTATGTTAATTATTTGGTGTACCACCCATTCTATTTCTTACCAGGTCTCGTTGATCCTCCTGTACCAGATCCATTTTATGCACCAAGCAAAAGATTTTGGCATCTGGAGAATTCTGCAGAATGGCCTCCAGGCATGACTGGTAATAGTGCATGTCCTTTTCCAGTTCGCGGCTTTCCACATCAAAGACATAAATCAGAACCTCCACATTACGGAAGATGTTGTCTCGTTGGCTGGTGAAATAATTTTCCATGAAGGTGTCCTGTCTAGTAGGAAAAAAGATCTAGGTAATAAGCAAGTCATCACTTAATCACTCCTATTTACGATCTATTTTTGTTGGCTTAATCAGTGTGAAAGATAATCCTAAAGCTTCAAATTAAAGGGAAAATGATAGCAAATTAGGATGGCCTCACCTTCTTACTTCTTAAGCACATCTAGTGCCACCTTTTGCTCCTCTCCTTGTGTTCCAAATATACTTTGACCTTCCCTCAGTTCTAGTGGCCCATGGTCTATCCACCGAGGGGCCTTTACACATGCTTTTCACTCTGTCTCACATGCTATCCCCTTACTTTTATACATAATTAACTCCTACTTGTTCCACTGGATTTCAGTTCAATTCATACTTCCTCACAGAAACTATCCCTGACCTCACTGACTTGGGCAAATCTAGTCACCATAGGCAATTATATTAACACATTGGTTTTATTTTTAACACTCACCACAAGTGTGATATTATACATATTTGTGTGAGTTTTTAATTAATGGCATTCGATCCCCTAGATGGCAAGCTCCATGAAGGTAAGGACCATGTCTGCTACAGTTTGACATTGTTTCCCAGCTTTTAGCACAGAGCTTGCCACAGAATAGTTGCTCAATGAATATTTACTGAATAAAAAACTAGTCAAACACTCTAAACTATATGAAAATGGCCCCAAGTTAACATTTTAGCAGAATGTTGCTCTTTGCTCCTTAGGCTGTGTGCTGCTTCCCAAGAAATTCTCAATTGCCAGCTAGATAGATGAATACAGTAGTGTTCTGTCTTAAACAAAAAAATCAAGGGGTGGCATCAACAACATGGTGGAATGAAAAGCTACCTCTGTCACTCCCCTTCAATCTACAACCAGTAAAACATTCACAACTCAACAAAGGTACTTTTGTCCAACACACCAGGATGCTAGAGAATTCCACACACCTGTACATCTAAAGATGGATGGACTGGAACAGATAGAGGAGGGAGAACTGAAGGAACAGTAGAGGTAGTGCCTATAATCCTGGCCCTCTGGCCATGGCAGCTAAGCCTGCAGCCCCAGAGAACCTGGTAGCAGCAGAGCAGACAGCACACACAACACCAGCCTCCTGGCTGCAGTGGCACCCATGGCCACATCTAACTGTACATCCGTGGGAATGGGGCCTGTGGCCCTGTCCCTCCAGCCACTGAGGTGCCCAAGTCTCCAGTCCCTCTGCTCTCCCACCAGCAGTGGCAGAGCCTAAGAACCTTAGAAAACCAGATAGGGAAGAGGCACTGGTATGACCCTGGCTTCCCCAACCCCTTCCCCCTGCGGTGCCTGAGCCTGTGAGCCTGTGACTCAGAGGATCCTGAAAGCAAGAGAAGAACCCATCATCCAGGTGAACCAGGCAGCTTCTGCCAGTGACAAAGGCAGAAGCAAGGTGCCAATGACCAAGAAAACACCAGAAGTGATAATGAGAGTTGGGACAGGGGGCACACCTCTGACAGAGGCAGCTCAGGTAAGAGAAACCAAAAACTTGTGCTATAGTACCACCTATGGAAAAAGAAAAGACCCCTAATTTCTAACTTGTCTCACTTCACATGCTCTGGCAGAAGGAAGTACCATGAAGAAGCACAGTAACACCGCACCACAAAAAGAAAATGACAATTCTCCAGAAACCAAAGTTAAAGTCACATAATAGTGTGATCTGATAGAGAATTTAAAATAGCTGTCATGAAGAAATTCAACAAGCTACATGAAAACTCAGAAAGGCACATCAATTAGCTCAGGAATAAAATTAATAAACAGGAATGCTTTACCAAAAAGGTTGAAACTAAAAAAAAGAACTAAAATTCTGGAGCTGAAAAACTCAATAAATGAGATAAAGAATGCATTAAAAAGCACTGGAAATAAGGCAGACCATATGGAAGAATCAGTGAGTGTGAAGATAGAAATCTAGAAAAGATACAAGTAGAAGAGGAAAGAAAAATAAGATGCAAAAAAATGAGGAAATTCTACAAGAGCTATCTGACTCTTAAGTAGGGCAACATTAGGATAATGGACATCACCGAAAGAGAAAAGAGGGAGAAGGGAGCAGAGAGTTTATTTAAACAAATAATAGCTGAGAATTTCCTAAACTGTGGAAGGAACTGGATAGACAACTCCATGAAGCTAAGAGAACACGTAATTACCTAAACGCAAAAAGACCTTCTCCAAGACACATATTAAAACTGCCAAAAGTCTATGACAAATAATTTTGTAGGCAGCCAGGGAGAAAAAAATGGTAAACTACAAAGGAACCTAAATTAGGCTATCAGCAGATTTCTAAGTAGAAACTCTATAGGTCAGGTGGGAATGGAATGACATTATCAAAATACTAAAAAATAAAAGGTGTCACCCAAGAATACTGTATCCACCAAAGTTATCATTCAGATATGAAGGAGAAGTAAAGACTTTCACAGACAAACAAAAACTGAGGGAGTTCATCAACACTAGACCTGCCTTACAAGAGATGTTGAACAGAGGTCGTATACCAGAAACAAAGACAAAAGTACACAAAACTTGGAGTAAGGTGATAGACAGAAAGAATCAGAAAATTGCAACTATTTATCAGAAAAGGTTCTTAAACACTTTATTACAGTATAAAGATTAAAAAAGGGAGAAAATGCAGAAAAAATAACTATAGCTATTTCAGTTTGGTAACAAACTTACAATGTAAAAAGGGAAAGTTTGAGACAACAAAAACACAAAAGGGGAAGAGGAAAACCATACAGTTAAATGAAGATAAGATGCTATCAGCAGAAAAACTATTTATCTATGTGACATTTGATACAAACTTCATGTTAATTACAAAACATAAATCTAGAACGGAGACACAAAACAAAATGAGGAAACTGAGAAAAATACCATAGAAAACCACCAAACAAAAATGGAAGACAAAAACGCAAGGAAAAAGAAACAATGAGCCCGTCCTGATGAAAGGGAAGTTGGAGACTGAGTTGGTCACCACACTGGGACACTCCTGGCAGGGAAGCAGCACAGAAACGACCATGTGGCTGACAGGGTCTTGGTGTTCCACCTGGGTGTTAGGCCTGAGACTCAGAGGTGGGAGAGCCAAGTCTAGGACATTGGACCACCAGAGACTTCCCAGCCCGATTTAATATCAAACGGTGAAAGCTCTCACAGAGATCTCCATCTCAACGCAAAGACCCAGCTCCACTGAACAACCAGCAAAATACAGTGCTGGACACCCTATGCTAAACAACTAGCGAGTCAGGAAAACAAACACAGCCATTAGCAGAGAGGCTGCCTAAAATCATACAAAGTTCGCAGACAACCCAAACCACACCACTGAGCATGGCCCTGCCCAGCAGAAAGACAAGATCCAGTCCCACCCACGAGAACACAGGTACCAGTCCCCCCCACCAGGAAGCCTACAGAAGCCACTGAACCAACCTCACCCACTGGGGGCAGACACCAAAAACAACGGGAACTACGAACAGGCAACCTGCAAAAAGGAGACCCCAAACACAGTAAGTTAAAAAAAAAATGAAAAGACAGAGAAAAATGCATGAGACGAAGGAGCAATGTAAAAACAAACCAGACCAAACAAATGAAGAGGAAATAAGCAGTCTACATGAAAAACAATTCAAAGTAATGAGAGTAAAGATGATCCAAAACCTTGGAAACAGAAGGGAGAAAATACAAAAAACCTTTCACAAGGACCTAGAAGAATTAAAGAGCAAACAAACAATGATGAACAACACAATGAATGAAATTAAAAATTCTTTAGAAGGAATAAACAGCAGAATAACTGAGGCAGAAGAATGGATAAGTGACCTGGAAGATAAAATAGTGGAAATAACTGCCACAGAGCAGAATAAAGAAAAAAAAATGAAAAGAATTGAGGACAGGCTCACAGACCTCTGAGACAACATTAAACACATGAACATTCGAATTATAGGAGTCCCAGAAGAAGAAGAGAAAAAGTAAGGGTCTAAGAAAATATTTGAAGGGATTATAGTTGAAAACTTCTCTAACATGGGAAAAGAAATAGTCACTCAAGTACAGGAAGCACAGAGAATCCCATATAGGATAAATCCAAGGAGAAACATGCAAAGAAACATATTAATCAAACTATCAAAAATTAAATACAAAGAAAAAATGCTAAAAGCAGCAAGGGTAAAGCCACAAATAACATACAATGGAATACCCATAAGGTTAATAGCTGATCTTTCAGCAGAAACTCTGCAAGCCAGAAGGGAGTGGTAGGACATATTTAAAGTGATGAAAGGGAAAAACCTACAACCAAGATTACTCTACACAGTAAGGAACTCATTCAGACTCAATGGAGAAATTAAAATCTTTACTGATAAGCAAAAGCTAAGGGAATTCAGCACCACCAAAACAGCTTTACAACACATGCTAAAGGAACTTCTCTAGGCAGGAAACACAAGAGAAGGAAAAGCCCTACAGTAACAAACCCAAAACAATTAAGAAAATGGTAATAGGAACATACATATCAATAGCTACCTTAAATGTAAATGGATTCAATGCTCCAACCAAAACACACAGACTGGCTGAAGGGATTCAAAAACAAGACCCGTATATATGCTACCTACAAGAGACCCACTTCAGACCAAGGGACACATAAAGACTGAAACTGAAGGGGTGGAAAAAGATATTCCACACAAATGGAAATCAAAAGAAAGCTGGAGGAGGAATTCTCATGTCAGACAAAATAGACTTTAAAATACAGACAAGAGACAAAGAAGGACACTACATGATGATCAAGGGATCAATCCAAGAAGAAGAGAAAACAACTGTAAATATTTATGTACCCAACATAAGAGCACCTCAATACAAAAGGCAAATACTAACAGGCACAGAAGGGGAAATCGACAGTAACACAACAATAGTAGGGGACTTTAACACCACACTTTCACCAATGAACAGATCATCCAAAATGAAAATAAATTAGGAAACACAAGCCTTAAATGACACATTAGATAAGATGGACTTAATTGATATTTATAGGA